AAGCGCGAAGAATTCGGCAACAAATCCAAGCCGCCGCTGGATATAAGGAAACGGAGGAGCGGTAGCAGCTCCAAGCTGCCGCCGCACAATGCTTCTGACACAAAAAACAATCCACATTTCATTTCTGATCACATCGCTACATATCACGGAGGGGAAACCCGAGTCAAGAGATAGGACTTCTGCGTATTTCATGGGATCGAAGAACAGCCGGGCAAAGCGAAGGGGTTTAACCGGCAGCTTCGTTTCCTTATTGTTGAATACCTTGTTGTGCGTTTAATACCTTGTTGCGCAATGCAAAAACGCATATTGTCGAGGAGTTGTCTGTGCGTGTGTGTGTGTATGTATGTGTATGTATCTGTGTGCGCGTCTGTAACGAGTTTTCATCTCGAGGCCCACAAGAACTACAAGGCTGAAACTTTGGTAACTTAATCTACGCACGGGCTCCCATCCTCAAAATGGACGCTCAGGTCCGCATGGTTCTCACGTACGGGCACGTGAAAGTTTTAGCGGGAAAGCGTCTTGGGGAACGGCGCAAGCTAGGAGACTGGGACTTCATAGGGATATTCTTTGGCCGCGTTTAATCCAAAGAATTCAAATCCAGCTTTCGCGACCTAGGTTTCACGTGCGCACACGTAAAAGTCTAAACAGGTACCATGTCAACTCCAGATTTAAGCTGATCAAGAAGCTGTAAGGAGCTGCAGTTTTGTGGTTTTACCTGTCATTCACTGCTATGCTCCTGAAAATAAATTGAGCTTTCCAGCCCCTTTGCATCTCACGTGAAAATTTCATGCAGGCGCTTTTGTAACTTCAGAATTGAAGCAGTTAGAGAACGGAGCTTTCTGAGCATAATTGACGGTGGTCTTTGACCAGCTGGGCACAAAAACGACTTGCACATCACTTTCGCCTTTCACGATTTATCGTAACTTCGCAGCCAGAACAGCTGAAGTGCTGAAAGTTTCCGAGCGTTGTCCAGGACCGTGTTTGAGCAATCGCACGTAAAGACAGCATTTGTGTTGCCATCCACGTACGAACACGTTAAATTTGACGTAACTCCGCAAGCGAGGCATCTAGGGTGCTGAAATTTTTGGACGTGGTTTGGGAGTCATTGTAATAATTTCTAACAGTCGTGGCGGCTACTCCCAGTAATCTAAGCTAGAAGCATCTGCCAAAAAAAAAGAACAGTGCTATTAGCAACAAGAACTTGCGGGGGAACTGTGCAAAAAACGCATCTTCGTACCGACAGCCGGTGCGCTTTCGACTAAGTTTTCCTTTACTCGCATTCGTTTTGCCCTTATTACTTTCCTGCACTGCTTCATCGTTTTAGTCAAAGTCTTTCATCATATTTAGTTTCCCTTCAAGGATCTCATTCAGCTGCCTTTCGATAGCTTCATGCCCAAGGTCAAATCCATCTTTTCAGGTAAACTCAAATTCAATCTCTTCTCGAATCTCGATCACATTTAAAACTTTGAAACCGAGTGTTACACTTCAGTCCGTTTGGGTCCCGGAACTGAGGACCCTTTTCAATACGAAGACTTTTTTCATGACCCGAATCTTCTTTCGGGGGCAATCTTCAACAACTGGCTGATTCCTTTCTAAAATTACGTTTCATCCTCTTCATAGTTTCCTGTCTCCTAAACGATTCCTTTCAATTTTCGACGACCTATCTTCTTTTCACTTGTTTGTGGCTTATCATCCAATGTTTCTTTTGAGCTTCTTTCAGCGTTGCGGTTCGTCCACAACGGGCGATACCGATTACAACAATACACGGCACAGATGCGTATACAGATGCACTCAATTCAAAAATACTTTATTACTTTTCGGTGACCAAACTACTCCGTTTATACAATCACCGTAAATACACACGCTGAGGAGGCAGTGAATGGATTATAAACAGCTCGTGTGAGAAAACCTGCATTCCTATCAACAAAACTTTTTAAAAAAATACTTTCATGAATGAATATCTTTTTTATCGCCACCCGTCTAGTCCTTCCCAATGTAAACTTCCCCTCACATACTTCCAGCGGAACGTTACGTCCAGCTGC